AGAGAGAGAGAGAGAGGGGAAAGAGAGAGAGAGAGAGGGGAAAGAGAGAGAGAGAGGGGAAAGAGAGAGAGAGAGAGGGAAAGAGAGAGAGGGGGGAAACAGAGAGAGAGAGAGAGGGGAAAGAGAGAGAGAGAGAGGGAAAGAGAGAGAGAGAGAGGGAAAGAGAGAGAGAGAGAGGGAAAGAGAGAGAGAGAGAGGGAAAGAGAGAGAGGAAAGAGAGAGAGAGAGAGGGAAAGAGAGAGAGAGAGAGGGAGAGAGAGAGAGAGAGGGAAAGAGAGAGAGGAAAGAGAGAGAGAGAGAGAGAGGGAAAGAGAGAGAGAGAGGGAGAGAGAGAGAGAGAGCAAAAGAGAGAGAGAGAGAGGGAAAGAGAGAGAGAGGGAGATGGAAAAAGAGAGAGAGAGAGAGGGAAAAAGAGAGAGAGAGGAGGAAAAAGAGAGAGAGAGGGATGGAAAAAGAGAAAGAGAGAGAGGGAAAAAGAGAGAGAGAGAGAGGGAAAAGAGATATCGATCGAGATTTAAAAAGAAGAGAGAGAGAGTGAAAAAGAGAGCTATAGAGAGGGAAAAAGAGAAGGAGAGCTATAGTAAAAATATATCTATCTATATTTAAAAATATATCTATCTATATTTAAAAATATATCTATCTATATTTAAAAATATACCTATCTATATTTAAAAAAATATCTATCTATATTTAAAAATATATCTATCTATATTTAAAAATATATCTATCTATATTTAAAAATATATCTATCTATATTTAAAAATATATCTATCTATATTTAAAAATATATCTATCTATATTTAAAAATATATCTATCTATATTTAAAAATATATCTATCTACCCTCTGGTAAACTAACATAGCTATTGAAAATCACCATTTTTAATGGGAAAACTCACTATAAATGGCCATTTTCAATAGCTACGTTAAATTACCAGAGGGTATATTTAAATATATATATATATACAGATTTAATCTTCTTTTGCATCAGCATCATCAGCCCCTTTTGCAACCCCTAGACTCAGCGGTTTCACCAGCCTTCAGCTGGCACCTCTTCTCCTTCTCCTTCTCCGGCAGATCTACCAGGTTGGACTTCCCCGGCGCCTCAGATGGACCTGCTGGCAGTCTCTGCTTCGTTTAGCACACCTACTGGCTATGTATGGCTACCATCTGGTTATGACTAACATAGCCATGAAAAATCCATGAAAAATGGAGGTTTCTAGCTGGGAAAATCATCTATTTCTATGGGCATCTATGGGCCATCTATACCATGGCTATGTTAAATAACCGGAGGCTATATCTTTAAGCAAGATGCTGAAAGATTTTGACATTCTGATGCATTTCGCATCCTTTAGCCATAAAGCATCGAATCATATCGGACCTATGGTTTGTCATCTTGTAGTGCATAATTGTGAACACCAACTGGTGACATGAATCCTGTTGAATGTTTTGATTTCCGTCCCGCCTGCGCTGCTGGGCAGAAGAGTGGCGTTCTTCTTCCCGCGGGCTACACAGGCCTTAAATTCCTGCTGATAACCTGCCAGTGTGGGCACGGTTCATACCACCCCGTCAATCAGCTTACGCTAATTAGGTAAATGGGAAAAAAACATACAAACATATAAGCATGTAGTGGAACAATGTGGAACAATGTGGAACAAACTGTTCACAGCTCAGGAGCTGGCTCGGGATTCATCCCTTCCATTCACCCAGTTCTCCAGAGGTGCATCGATGTTGGATGGAAATATCACACAGTTGGTGTTCATGTACGCAGGCACCATGGAAAACGAGCTTTGCGACATGATCAAAATGCTGGCTCTGGCCATGTGTGTCCATGCAACCAGCATGTCGTCATTGTTATCAATGTGTTCATCCAAGTGCACTGTCATACCACGCTCCCGGTAACCGTCATAATCTTTGGACGTCCAGTAGTCGTAGTCAAAAGCAGGTATGTTCTTGGGTGAACTCCACACGTGAAAATCGAGCTGATCAGATGGAATGATGTCCGCGATTTCCTGCGGGTCTTTGATCTTTGCTCGGTTGACTGGGACTACGCTTTGCTATGGCAATCCGGTGCTTTGAGTGCTGAATTGCCCATAGATTGTACAACCAAAGGTGGGATATCCTTTGGTAATCCATGTCTCTGATTTCTAGGTTGGCCATAGGGCCATAGGTTGTACAACCAAAGGTCAACGTGTTCCGAGTGACTGGGGGTGGTGTGCTATCTCATTGAGATCCTCAAAGCAAGATCAAGCCCCAAACAATGGGAGGCAACCATTAGAATCATTAGACCATCGTTGACCATATATACCATATATATATATATATATATCTGAGATATCTGTCCACATCTATTCCTAAGAGTATCTATCCATATCTATCCATATCTATCCATCCCTATCCACATCCATCTCCCCATATCTCCCCCAAATAACCCATGCTGTTCCACCATCTCCTTGGCTAAGCGGTAGTAATAGCTGTCCGCCGTGGCGCGGGTGTCATCTCGCTCCAGATCTGCGCGCCGCAGGTGGATCACCACAGACACCTTCCCGGGCGCGAAGAGAAGCGGCCGCCGATCCAGGTGCCGTCCTCGGTGCCGGGGATGGCCGGGGGCATCAACTGGGGAGGTTAAAAAAAAAACATCAAACATGGGGTTATAACATGGTTATAATATAACCAATAAACATCAATAAACATGGTCATATCACCATGGTTTTATAATGATGCTTCATTTTTGGTAGGGTGTGTTTGGCTTGATAATATGAAGATAAAGCATAAAAAATATTTTAGACTTCTATTCAAATTTGAAGGTGTGGAAAATTTTGGAACGTTTGGAGTCCATAGTTTTGGTAAGCGTTTCACGTTTCCAGCTACTTTGCTTAACGGAGGCTGTAGCATGCTTCAGCCAAATGCTCATGCACGATAGGTAAAGCCCTCAAAAATATTTTAAAAGGCAATTACAAACAATACAAAGAAATGGCAACATGATTGCGCAGCTGCAGCCGAATCCATTCTTTACGAGCAAGCATCTCAAGTCATCCCGCAACCACTGCGCAAAGTAAGAGGTAGTCGGGATGCTCCGGTCATAGCCCCTAGGTGATGCAAAAAAATACGAACGCCAACTCTTCACATCCTGATGTACATATGACTCATATGAAACCGCAGCCAGGCACCAAAAATTCTTTCGTTTGCTTCTTTCGTGATGGCGTGAATAATTAAATAATGGCAAATCTATGGTTAGATTAGATGGCTTCATGATGCGTTATGCTTGACATGGAAAGGACATCTGTGGATACACAAATGCACCAACGCTCTCCTGCCCAATTATCCTTGGAAGGGGAACATGAGATCTCAGTATCATCATTTGATTCCAAACCCGGGGCACAACGTTGGTTTGCTTGGGGGAGAATGGACGGTTACCATAAATATCAGCCTACAACCCACAGCCCTGTTATACCTTACAGTGCTTACAGGCAGATCGGCATAACCTGGCATAACCAACAGTGGGATCCAGGGGCCATTCATTCACAGCATGGCAGTAGACGAAGTCAGAATCCTTCAGTTTGGCTCGACTGCTTTCCAGCTGTCGCACGTCATTGAAGATCCCTGCCCAACCTCGGCGGAAGGGATGATTTGGGGGAACCTCCTGTCCTAATCTGATGGGAAACAAATGGGAAAATGACAACAGCATACAACGGCATCAACTACCTGCAACAATTCAAATAATGGATGCTAGAATCTGCTAGAAGGTTTGCTGGACTTGAAAAGGTTGGAAAATAAAAATAGTGCAGTTGAAGGTGCTCTTCTTCAAATTCACAATTCAAACCCAACCCTGTGGCCCACAAACCTCGCAGACACAAGTGCCTGAGTTCATCTAGCTTCCTTTCAAACCTAGCCATCGGTTCCAGTTGCATTTGCACCCTTTAAGAAATTCACCCATCTGTCACACCAAGCCTTTCCAGCCAAGGTGCTGGGTTTGTTGCTGATGTTGTAGATGTAAAGTTCCTTGGATGCCTGGTCACTGGCACTCTTTTACCCATGACAGACCATGGTGCGAAAAAACGTGGTAGACCCACAAGCCTCGTCTCCGAAAATGGCGTCCGTAATGACCCGGAAGTTGATGTGTTGATCCTCCGCAGATGATTGATCTACACATACACACGGAAAAAAAATAAACACATGGTCAAGACATAACCAAAACATCCAGGAATGGATTTCAAACATGTGAAGATGTGAAGCAAACCGGGTCATGAACGTTTCTTTCTGTTGCAATGCCATGTCGTCAGTTGGCTAAGTCGGCTGAGTAAAGATTGCAGAAGCAAAGAGGTCCAATGGGAAATCGGGTGAGATCCAATTCCAGATATGTGCCTATGTGCATATATACATTACACAAACACACACGCACACAGATATATATATATATATACATATATATATATACACACATCATGCAATATTATAATTTATTAATATTTATTATACATATAGTTTCCAGAATCTAGAAGAAACACGGGTTTTCCTTGAGTAGGAACCTTTCCATGTCCTAGCTTATGGACGTATGCGGA